TTAATGCATAGGTTTCCTTGATCAGGATCGTAATGGAACAATCCTCAAAGCAGCTAAGGAGATTCTCTGTACCAGAGAAGTAGTAATTACATTTGGATTAATTCCTAAGAAGAGTTTCTAGTAGATTTTTAAGGCTCAAGCACTGACAAAGTTTATATACTGTCTGTAGAAGACACCTTGGATTGCACTCCATCAGTGCAGAAAGTCAGAGGACAATTCCAACACCATGGACCAAGGTGTATGCAGTAACACTCTTAATTTACAGCACAGCCCTACCTTCACATGCAAGCATTAGAGAAGATAATTCATCAGCTTTACCAACATCGTAAGGCAGTCCAGTTTAAGTTTCTCAGGTGCATCTACTTATGCTGAATAGTTGACTGTGCCCACGATGAGGTCTGAAGTGGTCAGATGAAGCAGACTTCTACACATACTGAACAAGGATATTCCAGCCATGCATACGGAGACACAAGCTTTAAGGGCCACAGAGCAGGTTTCCTTAGGTAACTGCACTCCCAAGAAAATCTTCAGTTTGGTGCAATGAACATTTTATACAAGGGACTAAGACATGAGTCCTTTACACACCTATTTACTCATACAATTAGTCTGTTGACTTTTTTCTTTTGAAGGACAGAGCTAGGGAAACATAATGAGCAAGCCCATCTTTAGCAGCCTTTCAGACATGTGCACAGGTACACACACAAATTCAGACCAAAAATGCCAACCAGCATGAAAAACTGAGCTGTTGAGAAAGCTGGTGTTAACAAGGTCAGGAACTTGGTGGCAGCTAGAACTCCTGTGACTGGACATACTTGTGGGGTGGTTTAAGAGAGATAGTCTTCTTTGGAAGAAGTTCAGGAAGAACATTAGGCAACACCCCTCCTTGAGCAATGGTCACGCAGGAGAAGACCTTGTTCAGCTCATCATCGTTTCTCACGGCCAGCTGGATGTGCCTGGGCACAATCCTGGCTTTCTTGTTCTCCCGTGCAGCGTCCCCTGCCAGCTCCAGGATCTCCGCACTCAGGTACTCCAGCACCGCAGTCAGGTAGATGGCAGCACCAAGACCAATTCTGTCAGCGTAGTTTCCTCTTTTAAGGAGCCTGTAGACACGACCCACAGGGAACGTCAGACCAGCCTTGGCCGATTTGGTTTTCTTTGGCACAAGGAGGAGCTTTGTGGTTTTCTTCCCATGTTCAGACATTTTAACATCAATCTAGTATAGAAAGAGAAAGAATTTAAAAAAAAAAACAGACACAGAAACTAAGCATTTAAGTCCTTTCTTCCTCTTCATTTCACCGCCTCTCCAATTCCCCAACAAGACAGTTTTCCCCTCTCAGAAAGTTCGCTAGTTGTTCATACTTTTGTCTGAAGGAGCAGATGGGTCAGATGCAGCAGATGCTGCTCTAGGGAAGTCTGACAGGCTTCAGGCCAAGAGGCATCTGCAAGCTCAGTCAGAGCAGCAGGTCAGCCATCTGCTAGACTTCTAAAACTTTTCAAGAGAGTAAGGTAGAACTTAGGAGCAAGGTCTTCTGACCCAGTATCAAAGGAGGACTGCTGTTAAGGAAAAAGGTTAAGCAAACTAGGCTTCAAGATACTGTACAAGCACGTAGAAACCCTGCAAGGAAGCTTCACTGAACTTACCCCTGGTAAGAACCTAAGCAGTTTCTGCAATGATGACCTCATGAGAGCCACAGCTAGAAATTCATATCTTTGTCTGGATTAAGAACAACAGAAAAAAACTTCATCTACAGGAAGGCACTTCAAATGGGTCTTGTTTGCCACAGGTGAGGGGACCTATCGCTGCTAGATAACGGTCACAATTAGGAACAAGACTTCTAGGAAGAAGAGAAGATTTGTTTTACATCAGACACTGAAATTGCTCTGCTGAGCACACTGCACATCAGGCTACTACAAATGCACAAGTACCATCTTCTTGTATGGTATTGCATCCGTTCTAACAAGCCTCATTGCCAGTTACTGACACAAAGTCCCTGGTACTGAATAGTACCAATTAGCCTTCAACACATAGTGCAAAGCAACTGGCAAACCAACACAGTAAAGCCCTGCGCTTGTATAGAGAATAGTTCATAAGTTTCAATCATTAGATGCTTTTAAGTAATGAGAAGCTCTACCCAAATATAGGAAAGAGTTAAATCAGGTATCAGGTTGAAATGCTTAAAAATACAATAAGAAGTTATTTTAGAAGATTTTTATTGGCCTTAGAGAGAAAAGCTTTTAAAAATAGTCCACACAAGTAGATAAATTCAAAAAAATTAAAAGCCCCCTTAATCTGCCTTATACCAAACACAGAACTTACCAAACCATTATTTGACAGGAGAGTCTATCTAACACAAAAAAACCACACTGTCACTTCTTGAAAACAAACTCTCACCTGAAGAGGCAATTAACTTAACCTCTCCTCCAACACCACCACTACCCAAACCACAACTTCTAGTAAGAGCTGCCCCCTTTTAAACTCTTCAGTGGTAGCCATATCATTACCAGCTCTTGCATCGTTTCAGCCCACTTGGGTGAGCAATGATTCAGCTGCTCAAAATAAAAAACAATCAAGGTTCCAACACAAGAACAACTCAGTGCAGTCCCTGAGAGCACGAGAGTTTATCACTGCTCCTTGCAAGAGCTGCTTACCACCTTGTTAGCTGGTCTCCTCTGGAAACAAGCCCAGTATTTACTGCCTCAGAGAACTGCAGTGTCAACTGCAATCATTAAGAATTAAACCCAGCAACCTCTACCACTGTTCTTTGTGCTGCCAGCAGTGGCCAAGCTGCTTTGTGACCATGCTGCAGAGCCTGGGAAAGCTCAGGACCTCTGAGGTCTGAATGACATTCGGTTCTCTCTCTTCTAGGACTTGTCCCCACCTGTTGCACAGTCCAGCTTTTTCCAAAGTCAGGCACAGCTGTGTTGTAAGGCATAATATGTCCTTTCTAGGGTCAAGGGTGTGGTGACAGCTGAAGAATATTTTTCTTTAATACACGAGTGTTGGAAAGTTGAGCCCAGGCCCAACAGAAACTTTTGCTGAGCAGCTGTGTTAGGAGACATCTACCCTCCGTTATTGTGAAGCCAGAGGGGTGAGTTTTCAGATCGCTATGCTGTCCAGTTAATTTACAAATGGGTTGAACTATTGGCTAGAAGAAAGCAAACGACATTGTTCTTCATCAAGGAAATACTTAAAAAATTGACTTTTGAGTTGGACCAGTACTTCACCACAAACTCTGTCTTTGGATATAAGCGGAGGTAGGGCACACAGCTCACTCCATGTCTTTTATCATACCAAAAATGGCAGGTGAAGACATTTCTAGAAGCTACTTGAGCACTGGACGTGCCTTGCAGGGTGTGTTTGGTGAGGTGCAGAGCAGGTTCACAGGAGCAACTTGCATCCGGGAGCGGCATGACTGACACACAGTTCTCCAGCTTAGCAAAGGGTGCTGTAAGCACCATGCTTAAAACTGCACAAAGTTAGTGCCTTGGTTGAGTCTTCCGCAAACCCTCAGATTTTTGTTTGGTCCAAAGAAATAATCATTCCCAAGCCTGCTTTCCCTTGCCGTGGTCAAATGGGGGAAATAATTTAGGTTTCTTGTGTTCATTTCTCATGTACCTCCTTTAAAGCATTTTTTTTTTCATTTACAGCTGCAAACACTCAACACAAGGGTAGTAACGTATAGCACATCTTTACTATATGCACAAAGCTTAGGTTCTACTCTTAGACATTCTTACTTCTCATTGCTATAGCATCCTCCACTTCTCACTTCACTGGGTTAATTGCAGGCCAGCAAAGATCTCATCAAATTGCTCTTGAAAACCAGGCAGCAAGACCGGTTTGCTGCTCTTCAGTTCAATGGCTCTTGAAAATCAGGCAGCAACAGGGCTGCTCCAGCTGCCCATCACCCTGAAATCACAGTGTCTACTCAGTCAGGTATCCTCTTTTCCCATTTCTGTGTAAGCACAGCTTGGGGTGAGTCATTAACTCTGCCGCATACAGCTCTGACGTCTGTCAGCTTCGTAAAACCTGGCCAGTAGGCTCTGACACCCTTATGCCTTGAGGGGGTGAAGGAGCTAAGTCAAACTCAACAGGACAAGCAGATCTTTTTCAAATAAAAAGTTCACGCTCCAGCTATGGCTTAGGAAGCTGGTCCTAACCACCTCTTCTCTGTGTGAGATGCTATGAAATCTGTGAGATACTGTGCTGGGGGCAGAGTGATCCTAATGGCGCTGCAGCAGATCCCTGGTTTCCAGGCCAACAGCAAGCCTCAGCACCCACTATGAACAGAGAAACCCTGGGCACTTCACTGGAGGAAGACTTTCAATGACTTGGTCAAAGGCCTAGGGACATATTTGGATATGGAGACTTTTGTTTTTCTGCACTGATAGACAGAATTAAGATAGTGACCTCTATCAACAACACCACCATTGCACCACTTTTTAAGTAAACTACCTGTGATTGTTATGACAAGACGGAGGGGACAGAGGTTTAAGTGTCATGCTGAGCAGTCTAAACAGAGGTAGTTGTTCACTATGGCTTTACAAGCAATAAAACGTTAGAGCAGGGGGTTACCAGCTTCTGAAGTAGAGTTAAACAACCTCTGAGGGACTGAACTAGTTGCACTATGAAGTTGTGATGGAGGAAAAGTTCACATGAACAGTAGTGTGTGTCTTAACTGTTGTGGAGCAGGCAGAGGAGTCACCTGTAACATGTTTTCAAAAGTAAACATGTACTTGACCTTTTAAGAAATTATTTGGGTAGTATACTAGACTTTTTTTGACATTTTCTGTGATCCTCTATCCCTGGAAGGGGAGCTGAGAAAAGAAAGGAGAACAGTGTTGCATCCTATGAACTTTATTACAAGCTTTAAAAATGCATTAAAATTAGTAGGAAAAACATTTGACAAAGAAGCAAACACATACAAATGAGTGCTACCAAGCCCCATCATCCATAAGTGCACAGAACAGACCAGGAAAAGCAAGTTTCACTGGACAGCACCTCATTCCTGAGAAGCAGCATTTCCAACAGTTTTCTTGGGAAGGAGCTGGGAAAGAATATTTGGCATAACACCTCCTTGCGCAATGATCACGCGGGAGAAGACCTTGTTCAGCTCATCATCATTTCTCACGGCCAGCTGGATGTGCCTGGGCACAATCCTGGCTTTCTTGTTTTCCCGTGCAGCATTCCCTGCCAGCTCCAGGATCTCGGCGCTCAGGTACTCCAGCACCGCAGTCAGGTAGATGGCAGCGCCAGGACTGATTCTGTCAGTGTAGTTCCCTCTTTTAAGAAGTCTGTAGACACGACCCACGGAGAATGTCAGACCAGCCTTAGCAGATTTGGTTTTCTTTGGTGCAGCTCCTGATTTGCTAGCAACTGCTTGTTTCTTTCCACGTCCAGACATTCTGACAGGTGAGTAGACACAGAGGGTTGGAGATCTTCAAATTACCCAGGAGCTCGGGCTACAGCTGTCTGATAGCAAGAGGAGATGACAGCAAGGTGAGTTACACTTTCTGCTCTTCCATGTCAAGAGGAAAGCTTGTTCTTTTCTTGAGGAAAGGAGTGCCACACACCACAGTTCATTAATAGCAGAGCTAAGATTTTAATTACTACTATTACTACCCCCCTTTTACAGCCTACCTTTTAGGAGACAAGCTTTGTTGTGAAACCAGCGTGGTCCGACAACCTGTCAAGAGAGGCTTATTGATGTAGATATGAAGAGCTCAAAAGAAAAGGGGCTTTTCCCTGCCACTTGGACTATATCTGGGATTGAGGCAGAGTGGGTCTTCTTCAATAAAATTGTCTTAAACACCGTAACTGTTACCTCAAAGCTAACCTGAGGCCAAGCCTGCTGCTTCTTCCAGAAGGAATCTGTATTCTACCTTCTTCCATTATCAAGTTAGATCTTTCTTTCATCTTAAATCTATGAACTGAAAAATTCCTGCAGCCCATGGCATCTCACATCTAAAATACTCCAAGAGGTTTCCATACAAAGCTCTGAATTAATTCCCCAAGGGATATTCTCTGGCTGCTATGAGAATACTGGAGGTGTTCTGCAGCAGGAAAAAGAAGAATTGACTTGGACAGCATAATGCAGTCTGGAGAATAGATGTTAAATTATATTTACTCAAGATTAAGGAAATTCAATCCAGTTAGAGTACTCTTGCAATTAGAGTGGCAAAAATACTCACTTAAACAATATTTCTCATCTATGAGTAAATAGTTTCCAGCACAGCTGTTTGCAACACACAAGAACATCTATCATGACATTAACACATAGGGGTATTTGTGTAGCTTGACTTAAATTTTAAGAAAAAATCAGAATAATATTTGGGAGCAAAGAACAAAAAAATCCCAGCCCTTAACAAAATCCAAGCAAACCAAGCCAGAACTCCTTATCCTCATTATCAGAGAATAATTTTCATGTTCTCACTACATCACAGACATACTGTACTACAAATACAGTTACCTTCCAAAATAATATTTTTAAAAGTCTATAATAACCCCAAATATTTTACTTCATATTATAAATGAAGAACATATCCCATTACCTTCAAAGATTATTATTTTGGCCTAGTCTGCACTCTGCCACAGCCTACACTCAAAGGCAAACAAGCCACATAACATCATTTCCCTTTCCCCTGGGGCAGAGTCTTTTTATTAGCAACTTTTTCTCCTCATCAGTGGGTCACCTGGACAACTAATGATTCATTCCCACATGTGGTTCACCTTCCTTCTAACCTCTGATTTAGGGGAAAGTGAAGAAATCTGTTACAGATGCCCAGAAGCAAACTATCCGGGGCGAGGAGCGAGGCTGTCTCTCCAAGGGCTGAGCCACAGCTATATTTCAGTCTCACTGCGATAATGCCAGCTCTCACCCACTCTGGCTGGAGTGTTTCTGTCTGTAGACTGCGTGTAAAAACAGTCCTCTTGCTGCCAAAACCTGATTAAAAAAGTACATCGGGGAAATGTGCTTTATAAACACAACATATTCTTAGTTGAGGGGGGGCAACAACACTGTACATTGCTTTATGTGTGTCCTGGGCAGACAGAGTTATGCTTAATTCACGTTGTGTCTGAGATCCACCAAGTGTGGTGATGGGACTGCTCCTAAGATTTGGGCTTCTGCCCCCTCTTCTGGTAACTCTCTGATCTGGTAACCCAGATGGGGCTCAGGGTTTACTGTGAGAACATGGGGGTTCTGGTGCTGAGGGTCCTTGGTTAGTTCCTCTCAGTTCACCTGGGCAAGTGAATATTTTTAAGCACCTTTTAAAAAAATGAGTGCATACTTATGCTCTTTCTGTGTTTGCTTTCTGCTGTTCAGGGTAGTTTCCAATGAGCAGCATGCAAGAACCATGGGCTTGAACAGTATTTTGGCCACAGAAAATAAGTCTTAAACCAGCAGGTCCTCCTGAAAGCCTAGGCTCTGACAAAACATTTGTACAGCAAAACTGACACCGACAGTTCTGCACACTGGGTACTAACTGCAGGTCAGAGCCAAAAGACTTCGGAGTGCCTGCAAAAGGCTCCAAAATTGTGATCCCAAAAATTTTAGCTCAGATGCTGCCCCACCAAAAGGCTCCATCGCACTTTTTGATTTAAAGTTCTCACATCGTCTATATTTGTGGCTCCATCTATCACTCAGACAGCCACTTCTTCCACGAAGGTGAGCCTTTAGTCCAAGCTGGGTTAGGCTGAGCCTTCTTCCACCTCAGTGACCTGGGAGGCGGGTATGGGGCACCCTCCTCGTGTCCAAATCCTCACCGTCAGGACTGACATCCTCTTAAAGCGCAGCTGAGGCTACCCGTTGCTTTTCATTCAGAGGCATAAATGGTGACTGTGCCTTCCCCCTGGTAAACCAGGCTTCGCATTGGCCAAGGTGCGTGTCGCAGCACGCTTCAGGACACGTGGGCATTAACAGGCTGCCCATCATGTTGTAACGGGGCTCCTAGACTCCCCTTGGTGGAGCGGAGACACGGTCATTTCTTTGCATGCCCAGAACAAACACATCTCAAGGCCCGCCAGAAGGCCATGTAGGGTGTTCTTCTGGGGACTCAGAGCTGGGGTCCCCCTTTCTGGGTGAGCATGGCGACCATTGGGCTAGAGCATAAAAGGGGAGGGGGGGGGGTAAGGGGCCTTGCTCCCCTTCCCCTCCGCTGCATGCCTCTTAGAAGAAAGAGCAAGGTCTGCTCAACCCTTTGGAACCGCAGAGGTGCCTGTTTTTAGGGAAAGGGGTGCTGATCACACATGGATCGGGGTGGTCACACTTGACCCACTCCGCAGTGTTGGGTGAGTGGTGCTTTAAGACAGACTCAAAAATAAAATAGAAGATAAAAAAATAGATGGGTTGTTCTTTTTTTTAAATTTTAAACGCTGCCGAGCTGAGGCTGGTCTGAGGGGTACGAGCGGAGCGAAACGGCGTCTCTCCACATGCAGGGCACCCGGGTCAGAGCCCTACTGAGGCGGGCCCTGGGCAGGGCCGCAGCTCACACAGAGCCGCGGCCGGGCTTTAAAGCCC